TTTAATATTCAATATGACTTTAAAAAAAAATCCTTCATTCCTCAATTATGCCCTGCTAAGCACTTTATGACCATTTCTTAATACAATGCATTGTAACTGAAATGGAATTTCCTTCAGATTCTTAAAAGTGCTAAAGAATTTGTCTTGAGATGACTTTCTTTCTCCCCCATGTTTTCTTGCTCTGCAGATCATCTTTTTTGCTGGAGGAGGGTAGATAGAAATCCCTCAATTTGTAGTGTATCTTATACCTCCAGCATATTATATTACACCAAATGTTATTTCCTTCATTCTCTCTCAGTGGAAAAGCTTATCCTTCCTGGCTTCTTTTAGCATAGGCGAATATGTTCTATCTGGAATCTGTGGAGCCGAGTCACTCTGGGTCAGATTTCCTGCAACTCCTTTGGTGTTGACTGTGACTGTGACTACCCTGTTCTCTTATATGCTTAACTTAGTACTGGTTCTTTTCTATCAGCATATCCATATTCATAGTTTTTTTTTTATAAAGTCATCCACAAAATGCTTTTTTGACAAGTACTTGATTTCTTTTCTTCCCTTATGAAAAAATTTAAGCTGTTTGCATCCCCCTGCTCCTTTGATGGTGAGGTATGTTTCATCATTTATTGCATCGTTATAAGGCGGAAAGCACTGCTCCACAAAGCTAAATATTCTCCAAGGGCTCTAAACTAGCAAACAGCTTAGACAGAGTGCAAATCAAAGTATTCCCACTTACAGCTTTATTTTGCTTTGCAATATAAAAATTGATACTATTGATGTCATTAAATATAATTATTGACTTTGGTGTTTAACTGCTCTTCCAAAGAGTACAAGTTGAAGTTATCAAGAAAAAAATATACTGTCTTTTACAATACGAGAAAGCAATAAGAAGTTACAAAGCTAAAGGAAGATTAGGTTACACATAACTGCTATGACGCTATCTTAAAATTATACTTGGGGAATAGGGTAGATTAGAATCTTCTCTTTAATTTTTTAACTTGGTAGGAGATATTTGAATAATGATCAAAGTTTTATTAGGTAGGTCTATTGTTATTGAAAAAAAATATCTACATAATAATTGTGTTTTATTTATAATATTGAATGAGTATGGAAAGGTAATTTATAATTACTTGATTAAAGTACTTTGTGATAAGAAAAAATGTGGGTGGGTTTTGTGGCTATTTAATTCATCCAAATTCAATTTCATGAGGAATTGTGAATTAACACCATAGTTTAGAATGACAACTTAATTGCACATAATTCAGTAATATAATGATTATTGTCTCAACAACATAAAATTAAGAATGCAAAGGCAGCTCCTCATTGTAATAATTTCTAGTTAGTTCTATAACATTTCAACTTTTCTAAGACCTTAATTCTCCTTCTCAATTACCTTAGACAAATTACTCCATCAAAAATAAACTGCTTAATGTCAATAATCTTTGTCCCTGACATCTTCAGCATTCCATGTTATTCTGAAACAGCTATTGGGGACAACTATGGGCAGGAAGTGTGCCAGGAAGCTGATGCAGAAAATTGGGAAGCAAGTGACACTGCTGCTATCTGACATGGTTCAAGGAGAGTGAGTGCATGGAGGTTACAGGTGATTCCTGAAACTCTGCAATGACATTCATATAAGTAGAATTATTCATTCACATCAACATGTAACATGAACAAGTTAAATGAAAATTCACCTTAACATATGCATGTTATATATACATAAACATATACATATATATATGAATAATATGCAGCTCAGCCTAACTTTTTCAAATGTCAAGACCCTTAAGTAAATTGAGATACAATTTTGGTTATACCAAGGAATTCAGACACTTTTCAGGAAAATATAAATTTACTTTTGGTGCATATTTTCACTGAGTTTAAAGTGCAATATGAATATTTATATATCTATGAACAGTTAGGGCTTTTATGAGAATCCAAATTGAATTTGGATTAAAGGACAAATACTGAAAGTGTATAGGTAATTGAAGAGAAAGCGTTCTGGAAAGATTTACCTCCTGGGAGATTGTATTAGTATTTCAAAGGTAGGTAAGTTGGAACCATATATTTGCTCCAAAGTAAAGGCTCAGGATCACTAAGAGGAAATCCCAAATCCAAGATGCTCTGAAATCCAAACATAATGATCAAAAAGTTCCAGACTTTTAATCTACAATATGAATTTAGAGGACTTCAGGTTTTGATTTTCAGATTAGAAATTTTCAACCAATGAAATCTATATAAGTATCTTGAAATCTGAAATACTTCAAAATATCAAATATTTCTGGTCTCAAGCATTTTAGATAAGACATACTTAGCCTATATCTGTGGACAGTAGGGAGAAGTTCTCCCCTTCTTTCAGAAATGGGAAGCTATGAAAAACTCTAATACAAATACTCAGACTCAATACTTTGGGATTGTTTTCTGGTGGTGTGAAATGCCCCTTTTTGGTACTTGCAGGTACCAGCAGTTTTCATCCATTTGCAAGTACCACTATGTGTAGCATCACTGCAGGTACTATCATTGTAGGTACCATCATGGTAGGTAGCATCACTGCAGAGTCATCATTACAGGTACCATCACCACAGTACTATCACTATGGAGCCATCACTGCAGGTACTATCATTGTAGGTACCATCACTGCAGCTACCATCATTGTAGGTACCATCACTGCAGAGCCATCACTACAGGTACCATCATTGCAGGTACCATTTAGTAGGTACCATCTTTGTAGGTACCATCACTGTAGGTACCATCATTGTAGGTACCATCACTGCAGGTACCATCTTTGTAGGTACCATCACTGCAAGTACCATCACTGCAGAGCCATCATTACATGTACCATCACTGCAGAGCCATCATTACAAGTACCATCACTGCAGGTACCATCACTGATGTTACCATCATTACATGTGCCATCACTGCAGGTACCATCTTTACAGGTACCATCACTGCAGAGCCATCATTACAAGTACCATCATTAGAAGTACCATCACTGCAGAGCCATCATTACAAGTACCATCATTACAGGTACCATCACTGCAGGTAACCATCACTGCAGAGCCATCATTACAAGTACCATCATTACAGGTACCATCACTGCAGGTAACCATCACTGCAGAGCCATCATTACAGGTACCATTGCAGAAACCACCACTATAGGTACCATCACTGTGGGTTCATCAGTGTACATAGCACTGCAGGCACCAGTGCTCTGAGGCTCTGAGGGAGAAGGAGAGTGTGACTGATCTCATGCAGTTATTGTTCAACAAAACAGTAGTCTGTTTTCATCTAGAAATGTTGTACTTCTATAAAGGAAAAATTAATATAGATATTAAAAGCATATTTTGGAGTTAGAGTTTACAGGGAAAAGGTTTATAGAGAGGGCTTTATTATACATACTCCAGGCAGAACAAGTCACCTCAATGGTCAATAAATGACCTTTAGCAAAATCAATACATGTATCTTTGGTATTATTTTGTCATACATTTCTTTTACAACACAAACTAGAAACCACGTAAGAGTGCAGTCTCTAGAAATAAGGCTAAGAACCACTTACTTGATATTATCAAGACAGCCTGATTCAGGTTTCAGTATGGCAGTATGATGAAACATTTTGTATAAAGCAATCCCAAGGAAGATTACATTCAGCTGAAATGCAAAAGGTAATGTTATGTACCATAACCACAGTAGAAAATAAGGCAAGTCCATTTCTTATAACAAATGAATTGTTCTGGGAAAGTAGTTCTCAATAGACTTTTAAAGGAACTGGATCACAGGTGTCAGCTTACTGCTTTAGCAGAGGCAAGATGCCAGCTTGGGGAATTGTGAAATCACTGAGTCACAAAACATTGTTCTGTCAAACACACGCTAATGCAAAATCAGCAATAATTTAGAAAGATGCTGTAGAAATTATGAAACAACAGAAAGCCCACTGTGTGTTTATAAAAACCAGCCAAACAACAAAAGCAGAAGTTACTCTAAGAATGCTACTTTGGCATTCTCTGAACATTTCTCTGAACTGCTTAACTAAAAACATTTTTTTTAAGATGTACTTTCTGGGGTGGAGAAATAGCTCAGTGGTTAAGAGCACTGGCTGCTCTTGCAGAGGACCCAGGTTCAATTCTCAGCACCTACACGGCAGCTAACAACCATTCATAACTCCAGTTCCAGGAGATGCGATGTCCTCTTACCCTCTTCTGACCTCTGCAGGCATTGCAGGACACAGGCAGTATACTCATACACATTAAAATGAATGAATGAATGAATGAATAAATAAATAAATAAATAAATAAATAAATAAAATATTTTAAAAATAAGATGCACTCAAGTGATACCTCATAAACTTACAAATGTCACTTATTTATTCATTCATTCATTTATTGAGATTAAGGTCTCACTATGTAGCACTGGCTGGCCTATAACTTGCTGTGTAGACTAGACTTGTATAATTACAGCTATCCTCTTACCTCTACCTACTGTGTGCTTGGATTACATGTGTGCACCACCATGCCCAGCTAAAAACACAAATACTAATATCAATACATTTTTAATATAAAGCTAAAAAGTATTAGAAAACGCTGGCTAAATTCTGATGCTACAATAAACTAAGATGCAGGTAGAAGTTCTCTCATAAAATTGTTACGTAACTGACACCAGAGAAAACCTTTACTTTAAAAGAAAATACTCCAATAGGAATTACCTAAATGCCTTATGAAACACTATGTGGAAAAGCACAAGTTGAATTTCCCTTTACCATATGATTAGCTTATATTTTCTACAACTGGGGACTGGGGTAAACCATGAATGTCGAATTAAATGCTTCACCTAAGGTCTCCCTAAAATACACTTTCAGAGTCCAGTCTGTTATCAATGATCTGCAAATCACTAAAGTGAAAGCCCAAAGAAGGGACAAAAATGAATGGCTAAAAACCTTAACCTGAATTGAATGCAGCTGGTGGGAAAACCTGGTCTGTATTGACACGTGGCTTTCCTGAGTCATTAGTCTACTTGCTTTCATGTTTCTTTCTTTTCTTTTTTTCTTTTTGAAAACAGTTTATTGGAATTATTTAGTTACAGAGTGCAACCTGGTCTTTTACATATTGTGAGTACTGGTCAGTGTGTTTGATTTTAGGCAACAATATATTTTCTTTCCTTTTTTTTTGTGTGTGTGTATGTGTGTGTGTGGGGGGGGGGTACCATATTGCATTTCCAAATTGGGGGCGTTTAGTAATTTTAAAATGTATCTGGCCTAAAGAGTTTCAAGCAAGAAGTTTTAGCCCTACATTTTATCCTACATTTTAGCCCTACATTTTATCCAAAGCCATTTCTTTCCAAAAATGAATAGTAACTTTGAACTTTATTACATTTATGTTTGGGGAAGCATGCACACCATAGCACACATGTGGAGGTAAAGGACAGCCTATGGGAGTGAGTTCTCTCCTACCCTGTGTGTCTCAGGGATGAAACTCAGGCCCTCATGCTTGGTGGCAAGTATCTTTTCCCCTTGAGTTACCTCACAGGAAATAAACACATTACGCAAATAAAAATTAAAAAGAGGACACAATTCCAGAGTTTATGCCTAGTGTGGTTGTGCCATTCTTAAGTAAAACCTTTCTAAACTTCAAATTATTTAACTTCATTCTATTTTTTAGTGTGTGTGTGTGTCTGTGTGTGTGTGTGTCTGTGTGTGTGTGTGTCTGTGTGTGTGTGTGTGTGTGTGTGTGTGTGCCACTGCCCATGGTGGCCAGAAAAGGGCATCAGATTTCCTGGAGCTGGAGTTACATGGTTGTGCGCCACCCAATGTGGATACCAGATAACAAATCTCAGGTCCTCTGTAAGAGTAGTAAGTGCTTTTAACCACTGAGTCATCTCTCCAGCACTGAATTTTAAGTTCTTAAGGGTTTATATAAAAAGCCAAAACTGGAGCTAGGCATGGTGGTGCCTGGGGAGGCAGAGGCAGGAGGATCTCTGTGATATCAAGGCCAGCCTGGTTTACACAGTGAGTTCCAGAAATCAAACAACAAACAAACAAAAAAAAATGGAAGAAATAGGTGTTCACCTACCTATCTAATTCCTGTCTATTCTCAAGTCCAATGTTCCCCCCAAAAGGAACAAAAATACTCTGTTGGCAAAGTTAAGGTTACTATTGTTCAGTTGTCTATATAGCTATAGAGACTATGTTGGACTGTATTTCTGAATAGCCACATATTGCATGCATGCCTCTGAGTGCATGCCTTCCTGTCCCACTAATTTTGATGAACTATTTTACAATATAAAAGTAGACTATAATGAGTGTCTAATTCCTTGAGTTATATAGGGTCAAATAAGTACATGCATTCCCCCACATTACCCTATGTAAATTTAAGATAGTTAGTACATAGATGACGAAAGTTTTATTTCTTGACCTGGGAAACACATAGTTAATTAGGAGTTCTCACCATAATTATCAAGGTCGCTGGTCCTATAAAACTCCAAATGAAGTAGGTGTCAAGCCGAAGCCAACATCTGCAATGAAACATAAGGGAGAGTAGGCATTCAAGGACTGGGTACAGGACATATATCAAGAGTGAGCAAGTGACAGAGAAGAATGTGAGCTGCAAAGCATTCCACTGGGAGACAGGAAATATTACATTGCTTGTTCATTTAAATGCTGAATTATGTGCCCAATTTCTGACAGCACTATTGATGGAGTAAGATAATTACCCCTGGAGGAAGTAGGGAAAAATGGCATTGGGCCTATTTGCTAAGGCCTTTTGTGTCTGTCATAGAAACCTTGGGGAGGGGGGAGAAAAAGCAAGAAAAAGCCATACACATAGCCCTTAAACCCAGTAGCTTTGAGCTATCCTTTTCTCTTCAATTATGGTGCTACATAACCTGTCTATCAGCTGTCAGGAAAAGTGACATTTTCCTGTCAAGAAGATCTGAGGAAATTCAGCACAAAGAAGAAATAAATTTGGTATCAGATGATTGAAGTTTAATTAGGTTGGGCAGCCAACCTTTGAGAGTTCTCAAGTCTTAAAAAGTGCATTGTTACATCTCATGCTTCTGAGGCTGCAAATGGTCCTTAGCATTTCAGGAAGTTGATTCATGACCTAAAAGTAAATTATTAATCACTTAATTTCAGCCACATTTAATACTCTCCCAATTCTTAAAGCCCCTGGGAAATTACAGTTTCATTCTTCAAGATGACAGGAAGACAAAGTGGAAGTGACTCGTTATGAGAGAGATTAATGCAAATATTGAACAAATTATATTTGATGTTAAAAATAATATCTTGAATAAATTGCCATTTTGCAATATTTGAAGCATAATTAAAAAGAAAGTATTTCCACTGGTAAATATTCAGGAGTGTTTTGTGATGTGCTCTAAACTTGTAAATTCCAAGGATCTAAATATGTTGTTGATCATACAAATGTTAAAACATAAATGTAATATCAGAAAGGTTATCAAGAAAGGAACTTATACATATTATCAATAAAGGAATTGATAAAATATTGTTCTTCTGATAAAATATCATGAATATTGAAAAAAGAGTAGACCTACACACATCAAAATGATATGTTTAAATATGTTGAGGGCTGGAGCTATAACTCAGTGGTAAATGATTTCTACCATCACAAAAAAAGAAAAAAAAATAGACAAGGGATCCTTCTGACTCCCCACTGTGGACTCAGTAGCAGGGAGATGAAGAGGATATTAACTGAGAGAAAGAAATAGACAAGTGAAAAAGCCATGCGAAATATCTATACCATCTATTTATTAGACTTATAATCATTCAATATATACTATGCTATAAATGTTATATACATATTTTCATATATTTTACAATACTTAATTATTCTTACAGATGTACATCTATATATTTTAAGCAGAAAAATATCCCACGAATTTGTGTTAGGACTGCCAGCCACAGGATAGTGGGGGGAACGGAAAGTGCATTGCAAAGGCTTTGGCTGTACGATTCATTTTAATAATGCCTTAATAATAATTGATAAAGATATATCAACATATTCACAGTCTTACAGCTGACTCACAGAGGCAATAATTATGCATTGATTTTTTTTCTAATTTCTACAATTTTTAAATCTTGTAAAAAAAAATTGGGGGGGGGTCTTTTTGAGACAGGGTCTCCCTGGAGCCCCAGCTGGCCTGGAACTCACTTTGTAGACCAGGCTGGCCTGGAACTCACAGAGATCTGCCTGCCTCTGCCTCCCAAGTGCTGGGACTAAAGGCATGTGCCACCATGCCCAGCACGGGTTTTTTTTTGTTTTGTTTTTTTAAATCTTGTAAAAAAATTTGAAACTATATTTTAGGTTAAAGAGACACTCTCACCAAAAAAATCAATGTTAAAATATCTAACTATCTTCTCTTACCTTAAATATACAATCTAATTTCAAGCACAGTGCAGTAGGTACACCAGTGAATGACTGACTACAATTTCATAATTTCTACATAGATAAGATTTTTCACCCAAAATAGACATAGAAATTCTATTTGAAACAAATGCTATTAGTGAAGCAACCAATACTTCAGTTAGTAGCTATTTATTTTTTGAACAACTACTTTTCCTTTTGTTGTTGTGTTTTAAATATTCTGTCACAGAAAACAGGAGTGTACTGTTGCCTACAAGCAGACATAAGCCATAGAACTGAAGGTACAAATGCAATGATTTTATTCTCACTATAAGCTAGCTTGCTACCCCTTAATAAAGGAGTGTATGTAAGTGACGTGAATAATCAGTGGAATTTCCATCAGTCTCTCTAGGCTATCAACAAAGACTATGTTTTCCTTCAGGATAAAAACAATAAAGAACAAAGCAAGCACATTTTTCCAGATTAAACCAGATACACACACACACACACACACACACACACACACATACATGCACGCGCGCGGGCACACACGCACATTCTCTCTGCACAAGAACATTGTTCAAGTTATAACAGCGTGACACAACATTAATAATACATTTAGGGATGACTGTTAATGGGGTAGCCCATTTATAAGTCAAACAAGTTTTGGAGAGGTCATATTGGTGCTAAAGTACATTTTCGGCAAATAATTTTTGTATGAAAATGTGCTTTAAGATTGCCTGAAAAATATTCTTTTTCAGGATAAAGAAAGACAAATAACTTTAATTACATTATTAGTGATTTTCTTGGACTAAGGGAATTTAAAACTTTAATATCCTCAAATATTTATTCAATAACATAATGATATTCATTTTAACATCACAAAGCTTTATTTCTTTGGAAACAGTATCAGCTTAGCAAATGTTCTGTTTTGAAATGTATTTTGGCTAATGATCTCTTTTAAATGTGAAGGGGAAATGAGAGATTATTTTCCTCTTTAAGAAAAGTCTTCCATATCTATCTTTTCAATAGGTTTAAAGTCCCTTCAGAAGTGAACAGTGAAGGAAGCAGTATGAAGCAGTGAATAGGCATCCTTCCACTGGGCTGCCTGGCTTTACTGGCTTCGGGAAGGCAGTGTGGCAAGAACACCTTTACTAATTTGATCGCCATATGGCAATACCGGCTGTTGTTTTTGGCCACATGCTGACTTTTGCAAAGCCTTCTATATTTCAGCTCTTTCACACTATCCACCTTCAAAACTTGCATGGTTCTTGCCCAGTTCACTTTGCCATTATTGAAACAATTCTCCTTGACTTTACTGTTAAGAATGCTATCATGTAGGACACACATATTCATGCCTGAATATGTGTATATAATATATATAATTCCATACTATTGTAAACTCTGGTCATTCTGTGTCATTGAGATACAAAACCATTGGGTTAAGAGAGAAGGTCTGATTAGTGAGACAAATGCTAGAGGAACAATTTACCATCATATTAAACAGTAAATTTCAGTTTGCAAATGGTTAAAATAAGCCTGCCACTGAGAAAAAATATTTATCTGACAATTACTGGGATTTACTAAGCAACTTTTAATTTATAAAATTAGTAACTGTTAGATCATTCTTGTCTAACTTTAAAAATGCCTCAGTCTTGTCTTTTTTAAATAAAATTCAGGTCTATGTGTATAATCTCTGCATTCTACTATTAGAAGTACTAAAAGAAATAGACATGACTTAGGGACAAAGACATTCTGGCCACACTACATATTTTTTAGCAATTACCAAATGTAATCTAGAATTCAAAGGATTGCTTTTCATATGCTGCAGACCTTACCTAGTCTTTAATTTCATTAATGAAATGCTAACATGTATTAAAATTCTCTTATTGTAGCATTTTCCAAATAATAACAACTTATTGCTATATGCATAATGAAATCTTATTGCATTAACATGACTTTATTGGTTTCAACACTCAAAGAGTCAATGCTAAGCCACACGGATAATTTGTAATTCCCCTCCAGAATTGTTCTTTTCCAAAATGTAGGACACATCATCAAAATTAATACTAAAGGGGTTGATATCATGTTCCCATAAAAAGTCAATTATCTATTCAGTAAAACCACCTTCATGTGAACTGAGAAAAGGGAAAAATGAATCTGATTAATTTCTGATACCAGGACAAATTAATTTCCCTAAATAAGACAGTAGAGAAAGAACCTCTAAAGTTTATCCTCGTCAAATACTAAACTACAGCTCATTCTTCCTGAAAAGGTCTGATTCTGAATTTAGAAAACTGGTAAGACCACCTAAACCAGGTGAAAAAAGCTACTTAGAGTATAAGATTCATGATGTTTCTAGATGCCAATCACACCACCACACTGTAGCTCCTCATCTGAGGTCTACACTTGAGTGTTGCTAAGACATTTTCAGGTATTGCATTTTGTTACTGGCTTAATTATCAAACAGACATGGGACTATTTTCCAGTTTTCTTGAGTGATGTAAATTAATAATGGTGCTTGCTTCAACAAGAGGCTAAATCACATCTTTGGAAAGTATCAAATGCAGCCAGTAAACATTCTCTGAGTGCTAACAGACATTGAAATTTAAAGCACTTCATTATATCAAATTCTTTACAAGGCTTTGTAAATTACATAATCTTTTTATCTCCAGGACATGTGCATATATCTCTATAATTGAACTGTATTCATTTATTATTTTCTAACTATCCATCTCTCTATTATCTCTTTGTCTACAAAGGCTGAATGATTAAGGGAAAAGTAAAGAAATAAAGGGCAAGAAACAAAGAAAGGGGAGGGGAACGGACAGACTGCAAACATGCTGAATCTAATCCTAAACTTATTGCAGAAGACATTTGATAAAGATGCTTTGAAGGCTATTTCCATCATAGAACACTCACAACATGTGATCCTGAACTACTTAATGAGCAAGTGCATGAAAGAGTCATGCAAGAATGGAACCTGGGTCTACCTTGATATCTTGGAGTTTAAACCTGGCACTAATATATCAAATACAGCTTGTGCTGCCTTTATAGCCTCTACATGTTAATTTATTTAAAACTAGATTCATTATTTCTTCAGCAAAACACGTTTGACATTTTCATGAGTGACAATGCACTAAATGTCCCAGTACTTCCTTAAGTTCCATCTTAATTTAAAAACAATGGTGCTTGTCATAAAATTTGTATTTCTTCATTAGAATTAGTCAAGTAATACAATCAGTAATATTGGTCCCAATTCAATAAATTCTAATGCATGCCTGATCTTTATGTAATACACATTTTCATTCATATCTACATCTACATATATGTATGCATGCACATTACATATGATTTTTCATATGTCACAATAAATAGTCTTGCAAAGTGTTTAGGATAATCCTCACTTTACAGATAAGTAATTGAGGCTGAATTTTATTCTAGTATATGTGACTTCAAGGGCCTTATGACCAAAAAAGAATAAAGATATATTACAGAATAAAAATGTAACTTACTTGATAATCATGCATTCTCAGTAAATAGATGAGTGATGTATAAGCCGCATATAATGCACAGATGTTGAAATGTGTCTTAGGTCCAAATACTAGACCTATCTAAATATGTCATCTCAAATTAATGAAAAATTTATTATTATTGGATGGCTTTACTGCAATGATTTATTTATATTAATCACACATTTAATTGTTTTTAATATATTGATGAGCAGTAAAATGATCAGAATAATCCATTTACATTTTTATTTTAGTGAAATGAAACTTTGTATTCATCAAAACTCAGTTTTGGCTCTCTGCTCCTTCCCATTCCAAAGACAGCCACATCTTCTCCTGTAGTGCCAGCTTCCTCCCTGAGACATGACAGTGAAAGTCAGAGTGAACACATTTGGCCATATTGGGTGCCTGGTCACCAGGGCTGCCTTCAGCCATGGAGAAATGGATATTGTTGCCATCAATGACCCCTTCATTGAACCCAACTACATGGTCTACATCTTCCAGTATGATTCCACTATCAGCAAGTTCCATGGCACAAACAAGGCTGAGAACGGGAACCTTTTCATCAAAGGGAAGGCCATCTCCATCTTCCAGGAGATCCCGCCAACATCAAAGGAGGGGATGCTGGTGTGGAATACGCTGTAGAGTATACTGACGACTTTACTACCATGGGGAAGGCCAGAGCCCTCTTGAAGGGTAGAGCCAAAAGAGTCATCCTCTCTGCCCCTTCTGCTGATGCCCCTATGTTCATGGTGGGTGTGAGTCCCAAGAAGTATTACAACTGACTCAAGATTATCAAACAACACCTCCTGCACAAACTGCTTAGCCCCCATGGCCAAAGTC